ACATTTGAAGCAGAAGGAAGTGAGCTGTTGAACTGAATACAAGCAAAGCTATAATTAAAGACGTGAGCGGCGTCAGCACGCCCAAGCTATCAGACATCTGTTCAATAATAAATGAGGTCACTGGCCGGATTTCTATTAGGGTAGTTTGAATGATCGGTATACCATGGGGTCAAAATGCAATTGGTTCGATGTATTTACCTGGTTTTGTAATCGAGATATGGTTTTCATAATATATAATAAGCCACGTACTTATGCCCATTATTAAAGTTCCATGATCATATATGGTATAATCTCTTATGTAGGAAACATATTTCCTTTGATACCTTCATTGTGACACTAGTTGCATGTCCAATTCTGCAACAGTCTTTCTGATATGACAATTATAAATATCAGTGAGTTTACAGGACCATATATGGTCATCTGTTATTTAAGTCGATTCCTTGTTTAACATAATCATAATAAGGCGGGTTTCATCTTCCCAACTGCAACAGTGTTTGGGACGTAACAGTTATGCATATAATGATGTCAGAAACCTCCACCCTACTGGCGCCCAGCCACATGATGTAGCTATGTACCATTCGTGTAAAAGAATGTTTCTCACTAGTAGAACGCACATACGCAATTTGAGCCCAATCGGACCAATACAACACATGTACATGTCTGATTACTCTTTTAACAAAATCCAAGATGGTGGCCAAACTATGTGACTCATTTGTTTTGTTTTTATTCTTTTCTTATAAAAAGCTATGACCAGACATGATATATACAACATATCTAGTTGATTGGGTGAAGGACCTTTGAGAAACAAATGCCCAACCATTTGTTCATTTTTACCTGAAATACAAGATGGCAATGCAATGTAGCAAATAAGAAGGTGATCACATAATTGTAGCTTGAGTACAGACAGTAGAAGAAATTCTAAATGGCGGCCAAACCATGTAACCAAACATAACATTTTTTTCAAAGACTTATACGCTGCATATATATAGAAGCTAAATACTATATATGAGAGCATTTTGCTTCGTGGTTCTGAAGATGATTTTCAAGAGTATTTTGCCGTTTTAGGGGGAAATATGGCGAAAAAGGTTGACGTGTACGTCTAATAAAGTAATGTACTATATGCCATAAAAAAACTGATCGCCCAGACCCTCAGAAGGTAGTCAAATAACCACTTCAGGTTTAATTACAGTCCAATATCATTGTATCAACACATATTGCGCTATTCAGCATTGGTTGGTTTGCGGCGATCTGCGTGTCAATCAATCCAATATGGCTGCCAAACCAATTGACCAATCAAAATTCTAAAAGTCTTTTGCATCGGTTATATGATAGAATCGCAATTTCTTGTAATATGAACGCGGCCACAAGTCAGCACCAGCGAGATTCCGAAGCCAACTGTTCAGTCAAGACCCTAGCAGTTAGCCACTTCGCTAGTGAATTTGCAAATTGGTTGCCCCAATACTTCTTAGACTTTCTGTAACACCCAAAGTAACGAGTATTGAATGCTTTGGTTATCAATTCAATTCTACAATAATTTTACAAATTGCTTTAAAGGGTGTGTCTGGTCTCGTGCCTGGTGATTTCCAACATCCAGTGACGCACATTGTATCCCACGTTTTGGCTGAGTGGACCCCGAGTGAAAAGTTAACAAATCAAGCATTTTGCATGACGTCATCAAAAAACCATGCCACACTAATTACTAGAATAAGTATAGGCAATCCTAGAGAAGATTGAAAATATAACTATAAAATTGTAGACTATAATCTTTTTCACTTGGAGAGAAACAACAGCGATATACAGAGTGACCAAGTTAGTTGTATCCCTACTAACCGCGTGTTGTGTAATATTGTATGTTATTTCAGCATACGACATTTGAACTCACTACCTGTGTGCTAGTTTTTATGTTCTGCATTATTACCATATCAGAGGAATTTTGGTTTCTCTCTGTGATACTGCACTGTGATTGTAATAGTATTATAGATATTTTATTTCCCGAATTATCATCTTGCATATGATCTTTCTTAACTTGTTCATACATCAATCTTACTTTTAGTGATTATATTCTAATTATATATCCGGTTAAATTTGAGATTAAGGAGACTACAGAATATGCTGCTCCTGTTTGAAATTTAGGTCTGTGTCTTGAGTTTGACTTTAAAGCGAGAGAGTCGTCACCTGCGCACGCGCGGGAATTGAGTCCCAAGCGACCATAACAACACACGTTAAAAACGCAAAGGCTCATGTGTAGACGCTTGTTTGTAAACAATGACACGCTATGGCCATCTGACGCATGCGCAGGTGACGACTCTTCATCAGACTATATGACAAGAGAGATGAGTTAATTTGACTATCATGAATTTTCCACATTTTTCATACAACAATATTACACTTTCTCCTACCATGGAGGTATAGCTCAATGCTCCTACCTATGGGGTATATATTTCCCAACTCATTCGTTACGCCCGAGCCTGTAGTAGATTTTTTCAAAAAGACATGGTCTTCTTAAGTCTGAACTATTTGAACGTTTTTTTTTATGATTTTTTTTTTTTTTTTTCTTTTTGTCACTTTCACTTTGTCAGTTCACTTATATTGTGTCTGAAAATAATTTGGTGAAAAGTGCTTCCGGGAGACACTAAAGTTATATTTTAACTGTGCGGTACAACCAGAAAATCGCTACACGTTGACTGGGTTCACTGTAAAACCATTCAGCAGTCAGATGCACTATCATTGTTTAATTTGTGACATTGAAAACTTTGTTTTCAAAAGTTTTTATTCTTAGAACAATTCCATAGAACGCAATGTTAGTAGAAATTTCATTTTTCGTATTTTTTTTTAAAAAAACTCAGATTCTTGAAATAATTCAGGATAACTAAGAGTACCTTGTCACATATAATATATAACCCGCCTACAATTTGATATATGACAAAATATCATATCCATTATTTGACTAAATTGTAACGGTGTTCTAATACTGACAACATGGTCGCCATTCACCATAATACGATTATAGTTTTTTTGGAAAATTAGGTTGCTGACCCTAAACTGTCTAAAGGTAATATCCTTATATTTACCGGAAGTACGATTTATCACTAAATGAATGATAAATTCTGGGTATTTCCATTTATGAATAGCATCATAATACTGAAAATTTTGATTCGAGGTACCACGTGATCAGTAGAACCAATCATATTACTGCGGCGATGTCAATCTGTTTTATACGTATACAAAATTTGAATCAAGGTCGCGCGTGGAAAGGTTACGAGTGCGGTGTATCTGTGCTTGATGATGGCTGCCTGCAAGGAACTTACCGCTAATTTGGTCCACGATTTTCTATCCTCTATTGACACGATTCTTTGTGACTGCGATGGTAAGGGGAAAAAATCGAGTTACTTCACAAAAATATTTTTATTTTTTGTAAATTATTGTCAATGCAAGTATATTTTTGTGCGTTCCATCTGACTGGACGCAATTCTTTTAACCGCGGAGATGGTGATTTAGATACACAATATAGCTTTAATGCGTCACTGTTGAGTGGGATCCATGATGCTCGGTCAGCACGTAAGTACGTACCATTAAGTACCAGTACAGCAGCCGCAGAGCCCCTCGCTCTCCATTCATTTCGTGCAGAACCAAATAGTGCTTTGTTTTGTTTTTATTCAGAGCATCGCCTAGTACGGCAGCTGCCTAAACCTACACCCTCTCTCCAACCAGAACAGTACGAAACGTTTGTTATTAGACTGCTTCCCAGTAATGTAATTAATGAACTTGTGCATGGCAATCAACAAAAATGTTAAGGAATTCACAACACCGGCGAGAGTACTCTTACTGTACTGTTGCTTCTGCATATTTAAGCTATAACCATTTAAATATCACATTATATATTGGTAGACACGAATATAGACTAACTGAAATATAATGGTGGGGTTTATATTAAGATCAAGCCTGGTACGCTGGGGTTATCGGCTTATAATATTTGCAATTCGCTATATAAATTTATTCATCATTTTTGTGTTGTATTACCGTTCAAAATTTGTTGTTAATTATTGTCTGAAAATCATAGTTCAGTATTGCCGTGTCCCGTCCTGGGTGATGGTTTTGAAGACAGGTTTTATTTGTGGGTGAGTGCGGGCTATGAAACACGTGACTCAAAATTCGGTTAGAACGATCTTTAATCGCGTTGTTTTTAATCGCTATTTCAATCCACTGTAAAAATAGTCATGGCAGGGGTTGGCGTAAGAATTCTTATTTAGGTGTCGAGCGAGAATCAAAGTCCTTCAATTGATTCTAAAATATGCGTCTCAAACAATGTGTTCACAGTTCAAAAAAAAATTCCTCAACGTAATAAAAAATACTTGGCAGTGTAAAATGAGCAATCTGTTCCGAATAACTGACTTGTTTTCATATTGTTACAAACATTGAATATTATTCAGTCGTGATTATAAAAGCGTACAAAACGTAAGCAAACGGTTTCGGTCTCAAACAAACACTAGATGCACGATTTGACCTGAAACTGCTTCATTTGACCTCATAGGTCAAAACGATCGATTAGACAGAATG